TATATCTGCAAGGGTCCCCCTAATCCCATCAGGCTTTGGCCCTACCAGTACCCGGAGTGCGGGAAGTCGCACTGCCCTTCCTGCCACTGGTCTTCTCATTGGTGCTGGGACCTCTCCCAAAAACACTACTGCATTGGCGGTCCTTATCAGCAGGGGTCCACGCCTTATCTGTTAATCTCTATCTCCAGCCCTAGCTCTAGCTCTAGCTCTAGCTCCATCCCTATCTATATCTATAGCCGTATCTGTTTATACATGTGTATATATATATATATATAGACGTACATCGATATCTTTAGTTTGTATCAAAAAGTATGTCTATCTCACTATGTCAATCTCAATCTCCACCCAGCTGCCGATCTTATCTATTCCTTTGGGGTCGGACTGTGTCCTAGTTGCAACACTTGCGCGAATACAAGTCAATGCGCAGCTAAATACCATGATCACTTGAACCCCAGCCCCCGAAACCAAGAATCTTTTTATCCTGGAGCCATCCATAGCCTGAGCCACGAAAACCCAATCTTTCTGCACCCCTAACTTTTCAACGGTGCAGCCTTCGACCCTCAGGAATAGAAGCCGTTGATTTATTACCATGCTGAAAAGGTTATGTAAAATGTTATGCAAGCTTATGAAGACTTATAGATCCTGGATCGCTCGGGCCCAAAGCCACCACCCTCAAGCCCAGAAGTATACCCGGAAGAGCACCAGGAAAAAAGCATAGAGCCTTGGATGACGGTTGTAAAGTCGTTTAAGGAACTACAGGAGCTCTACAAGGTTTTGGAAGGGTTTAGACAGTTTAGCCTGTAAAGCAAAATCGTGAAAGACCGGCAATGTTTAAGCATTCGGATTGCCTATTGAATCATGTTGTCCAAGACCCCTACTACGGATTCAGACCCCTCATCTTGCACCCTCCAGCGGCCTATATACGGGCTTTGGAACCGCCTACAGCCTTATTCTCATTATGCATGGCCGCAGCTTAAAGCATGCAAAACACCATACAACACCAGTTGAACACTTGCCAAACTATCCTAGACAAACAGATTAACTGGCAGTATGTTTCTTTAGGATTCCTTATTCTACTTAGAATCGAATATACCCCCAAAGCCCTAGTCGAACTATCGGGGCCCTTACAGTATAGAACGCTTCTACTAGCCTTTACAGAGCCCCTGAAGGAACCCCTAAAGTGACCCCAGCCTTACTTCTACGACCGCTTGTGAAATTCATGCTCTAGCACACCCTAACCCCTATATCCTAAACCCTAAACTTGCCAGGCTTTGTCCGAGTGTGAGTGCCAAAAAAACCCTAACACCTTGTCCGAGTGTGAGAGCCGAAACCCTAAAAACTTCAAGGAACCCTAAACCCTAAACCCTAAACCCTAAACCCTAAACCCTAAACCCTAAACCTCCAAAGGAACCCTTCAAGGAACCCTCTTCTGAAGATCCGGCCCCCTACACCCTGAACCCTTACAGATTTCCTAAAAAAAAAACCGCGGTTTAGGGTTTAGGGTTTAGGGTTTAGGGTTTAAAGGAACCCTTTTCTAATCCTTAAGGCCCCTAGAGGATAGAACCCGAAAAAAGGAGTCCTTCCAGTTCCCTTCACGGAGCCCTCTTAAAGGAACCTCAACAGTTTATAGGGTTTAGGGTCTTTTGCCCTAAACCCTAAACCCTAAACCCTAAAGAGCCTGGGTTCAAAAAAAAGGGTCCCTAAACCCCTAAGCCCCAATCCCTAAACCCTAAACCCCTAAACCCTAAGCCCTAAACCCCTAAACCCCTAAAGGGTATTTCGCCCTTCAAGGAACCTCCAAGGGGTTTTAGTTGTACCGCCACTCTCCCAGGCTGGCGGGCCGATGGTGACTTGTCCCTCGGCCCTGTCAGGGTTTAGGGTTTAGGGTTTAGGGTTTAGGGTTTAGGGTTTAGGGTTTAGGGCTGCTTGGGGCTTGGGGCGTCGGGTTGCTTGGGGCTTCCCGGCTTCGTAGTACTTGCAGTCTGGGAGGTTGTCGGGATTCAAGGTTGAGGTGGGTTCGTAAAGCTGAGATTTTTTGGGTTTTAGGGTCGGGGTGGGGTAGCACTAGGCAATAATACTTCTCCTTATCCTTATCACGCCGTTGCCATCAGCACCATCCACAGGCCGCCCAGACTCCCTCCACGAAGGAGTATTCCTGTAGTATGGTGGGGTTCAACTTACAGTTTGAGGCCGTGTTCCTGACTTGAGGGGTTAATTCGGTGGATTCAGATCTGCAAGCATTCAACCTCTCTTTGAAAGCCTGTGAAAGAACCCTGATCATAAAGGAAGATTGAAGACTGCTTAAGGTTTGCGTATTTGTTTTATTCGGTTCATGTTGGTTCATACGTGTGTACAAATGTATATACATATATACATAAGTAGATACATACAAATATCTATGCATGTATACACATACATATGCGTGTATGCCTACACAACTCTCGAACCATAAATGAAAGAACCTTGACATCCGGATAAGAATATTTGTGGCCCCCCACGTTCGAAGGGCCTCCTCTGACGTGGCCAGCTACGCTGCACTGAGCTTCGCCGCATCCCTGGCGGTGAGCAGCCCGAAGGCGTGCCGGGGAGTAGTTCAGGGCCCTAGAAGGGTCTTGTGGGGGAGGTGACGTTGAAAAGGAAGGAGGCTCATGGTCCAGGGTTGCAAGGGTGTAGAGTAACTCAGCGTGTTAAGTTTGGGGTGTAGGGTTCAGAGTTTAGGGAGTTTATTTAGGCTGAGTTTAGGGTTCGTGGCTTAGACCTCGCAACTCGCAAATTTCAGGCATCGGGGAAACCTGAAGAAAAGCTGATTTTCAACCCCCCAATGAACATGAGCAGGGCGCAGGCCGGAAAGAGTTGCATTTGCCGGTTTGGGAGCCTTGAGTCAAAGGCGTCACAGACGAGGAGCAAGGATTCAGGGGACTCGAATAGCGAATAGGGCACGGTGATAGCAACAGACAGCCCACCACAGTCACCCCTCTCTCGCTTGCTTTGCTCTTTCCGTCTCTCTGTCGCAACAGTTCCAAGCGCAGAAAGCAAACTGCACAAATGGATGCTGACCCATTGGGAGTAAGGCTCGGTCAGGTTCACACATGCAGGACATGAGTGAGGGAAGATTGAGTAACACTCATACAGAGTCTCCGTGTCAGCTTTATTGTCTTAGTGGCTGAGCAGGTAATCTTTAACCTTTTGGGGCTCTTATAATCCTACTATAACTCAAAAGGTTAACCTTTTTTGGGCTAGGGTACTCAGCCCCTAAGTTGTAAAGTGGTATTTTAGGCCACTAAGCCGGAGGAGAGCCTAAGCCTGTTGAGAAGACAGCTCAGCTTGCATCCAGGTGCTCCTACCCGAAGCACCGGAAGAGGCCCGGCGGCTGGATGACGTCACAAGGCGACCGACGCTTCCTTGCCTCCATCCTTTCCCATGCCCTACTTGGAGGTTCATGGGTAGTCATAAGTGGGGTTATAAGTAGGGTAACTATAATTTTACCCCCTTTTAGGGGACTTATAACCCTACTTATAACTGCCCATGAACCTCCAAGTAGAGAGCAACTCCTCTTTGGATTAGGTCAACCTTCGGGTGGCCCGAACAAGGCCGAAAAGCTCCGAACCCGAGCAGTGCCAAAGTTCCCACGCAGGCACGCTGGCATCGCCTCCAAGCAGATGCTGGCACGAGCCAAGCACGGCAGCTCGTCTAAACCCTAAACCCTAAACCCTAAACCCTAAACCCTAAACCCTAACCCCTAAACCCTCGTCTATTTTCGGATTCTAGGGGCCCCGAGACTGGTTTCACAATTCTCCGAGGAATGCGTGAGCGGGTGGTGAACCTTTGCCCACGCATCTCCGACTGGGAGGCAAGACTTGCCATAGGGCCTAGGGTTTGAGGCTAAGGCAGTGTTTTGGATTGAACTAACGGATTTCGGCCTTGGGGTTTAAAAGTTCGGGCTGAAAGCTAGGGGCCTCTAGGCCTCAACTACAGGTGCCTTCAGGCTTGCTGCATGGGAGGCATAGGCATTAGTGTGATTCCAAAAATCCGGCAAAGTTGTGGCGCGATCACGAATCGCATTGCGCCAGGGTTTTTGGCACGCACAGGTTCCATCTGTGATCTGCTTGCACGGACAGGAATACTTCCTCAATGACGATGCAGAGAACGTCCACGCGCGTGTTTACAAATCTGCCAGCGCACAGGCCAGATGCTCGGGCTTGTTCGATGGCGAAGCCTCGGCGTAAGTATCTCTGGCGTGGGGCTTGGAGCTGGCTGCTTGTGCTCCTTCTGTGATTCGCGGCTTCGCTGCCAATTATGAGCCTAAACCCTAAACCCAAAAAGGAACCCTAAACCCTAAAGCCCCCCAAAAAGAACCCTAAACCCCCCAAAAAGGAATCCACAGAGCAACAAGTAGATGAGCCCTTGCCGATGCGAGAGCCGCAGTGCCGAAGCCTGCCTAGCAGTTCCTATCATGAGAATTTGTCCAAAGACTTTCCATGTAGAGGAGCACCTTGCGCCGACTCAAAGTCCACCCAAAAACGATCAGTTTCGGGAAGCTTATAGCGCAGCCGCCCTTGCTGCTTGGCCTTTGTATGCAGCGAACGTGTGTGTCTGAGAACCTGGGAAGTACAGAACCCTCAAGCCCTGCCAACCCTGGCATGCGAGATTGCAAAGGTCGCAGTGGTGTCCTTCCGTGGCACGCAGGCAGCTGGGAGTCACAGCACCTGGCAGTCGTTTTGCCTTCTAGCAACGGTCAGAGCAGATTAGACCTTACCCGCCGCACGAGACAGGTCGCCCCCCTAAAGGGCCCCAGCCTGTTTGCGAGATTGGGAGTCGTACTCCGAGATGATGCCGTGCTGGCAGTAAACGCATCCTGAAACAACTTGACCCATTGTTCTGCTCTCTCAGCAAACTCTTCTCAGTTTTCTAGGGGGAGCATGCATTCGGGCGACGGTTTCGTTTCCAAGTGTTTACGATCAAAGGCATTGGTCGCAACAAGGCTAAGTGGATTTTGTTCTTAGAAGCATGGAAGCTGTAGTGTACTATACGCCTCAGGAAGTACCCATACATGTCTTCATAAGCATCTCATTAGTACCACTCAAAGTCCCGCGACCGCAGTTTACTTGTTACCTGGTACTCTTATGGGCGAGTGTTATGGTTGTTCTCTTGACCATCGCTTGCCATGGCGAAATTGTCGTGTTGACGTTGAGACTGATGCCTGCGTAGGCCAAGTCAGCCCAGAACTGGGAGATTGACTCGGACATCAACATGTCGCTCGGCGCATGGGTGGTTCCCAGAACCAGGGTTTGGAGATTAGGGCGATTAGGTTGTGCTCGGGCTGAAGTTTGTGCGCCGCGCGGCTCGCTTCCGAAAGCTCATCTGCGAAACTTCATGTCAAACCCATTCGAAGGCTTCGCCCACTCCGGCTGTCGAAGTAAAACCCTTTGAGAGCTCCTGTGACTGCTTTTAAAGCTACCCTTATAGAGCCCTTTTGAGTTTTGGCGACCCAAAACCCTAAACCCCAGAACCCATAACCCATAACCCTAACCCTTTAAACACTAAACCATAACACAAATCAGGCTGAACGTCCAGCTGGGGGCTCCGGGGCCTCACGGCCCAGCGGCATCGGCTGCACGACGTCCCGGGGGGGGGGGGGGGGGGGGCATGGGGCATTTTAGGGGCCTCGGAATTATTGAGAGTGTCCCCTCATGGCATGCATTTCTCATTACTAGAATACTCCCAAAAAATCCTATTCTACTTATCAAGGCCCCGATGTTACGTTGACATATGTAGCTGGCGACACAGACTTCAGCTCATGTCCTACATCATCGGAAGACGCGAGCCGTCGTCGTGTCAATTATCTCATGCAGCACGAATGTCTTGCCGGGTTCCATCTTCAGCAAGCATCACTTACAGACCGCAGTGCGTGCCACCTCCGCTGATATGGATATAATGTAACATTATATCGTATTTTCGTATTATAGTACACTGTACTACAACAAAACATCATATGGGGATCTTAGACTCCTTGGCCGAGCCGGCCCAATTCCCAGATCCCCTCTGCACTCTCTCCTCCCTCTCTCACGGAGCATGCCGAACCTCAAGCGCGACTGGCCCTCTAATTGGACCCGTCACTCTCCCACTCCCGCTGCGCATTCCTACGTTGTGATGGGCGATTTGGTCTCCGGTCCGTGCCGTGCCCTCCCCCTGCCTTCAAACAGCACATCCCATGCACTGACGAGCGGAGGGATCTCGAGGTCAAACAGGCAGTGAATCCCATGCAACGAGGCGCCCTCCGAGGTGAACATCCACGAGGCCACCGGCTTTCTGTCAAGACTTTCCTGATCTTTGCCTCTAACTCCATGTATTCCGTTCATCACGGCAGTCATGCCGTGTTAGTGTCCTTAGTCGTAGCAGTGGCGGTAACTAATCTTCGTCATCGTCGTGGCCGAGGCAGGCGGAGAAAGGCGTAGTAGCAGCAGCCTTGATTAGTAGTGAGAAAACCAGTTTCTGTGGAGAACCTGCATGCTTCCACACTTCACAAAGGACTGAAGTAGATATTGTCAAGCTCCCAATGACCACCGTAGTGAAGATGATCCAAGATCATGGCACTCCTGTTCTTGAGCAGCCTTCCAGGGAGCATCACACCACAATAACGAGGTGGAGACAGGTGGAGCATAGGGTGCCCTGCCGTTTTCCATAATCCTTTTTGCGGACGTGTACAAACATACATACATATACACATGTGTTTATGTAGGTAACGTAATGTAACTTAATCAACTGCAATGTAATGTAGTGTGCCGTAGCTATATATGTTGACATATGACACAATACGTATATATATATATATGTATATAATATATATACACATATATCTGTACATACGCGTATATGCAAGCACACATCTAAGATCCTTACATCGAGTTTCGATGTTGCTGCCTTTGAATGACAGGGCTTCTATTTGGAGCTCCAGCGCGTGCTGCCTCATGTGAGGAAGTGGGTGGAAGGCCCTCCACCAGAGTTGGGTTCGTTGAGGTCCCGAAAGCGTGTTCATAATGGAAGACAATTTGAGGTGTGTGTGCTATAGAGAGAGCTCCCATGCATTTACGTTGAACATCTCCATCTTTCTCGCAGCTTTGGTGGCGGCTAATTTGCGCTATCCGACCCTAACTGGCTCCTGGGTTTGGGAACTGTCAGAACGGCATTGAGCATCGGGTGGGTAGTTGTAAAGCACGCGGATTTTTGAAAGCACCTTACTTTGTGGCATTATGGCTGCTCTACGAGAAATCTAACTCAACTACCCATGAACATTCGAGTCGTGTTTTGCGGTATTCATGTGGTGGTCGCTTCTGACGCCTCCGTGAACGCGGGAGTTAAATGAAAGTGAGCCTAAACCCAAAAGCTACCCAAACATCTGCACACAGTCTCTAAGCCCTAGGTCTCAAACCCTGAAAACCCCAACATTGAAGCCGGAATGGTTGCCACTGCAGTTTCTGGGAGTTCTTCTTACAGTAGTCGTATAGTAGGACATACACCCCAAAGCCATGTACTAGTCTTTAAAGCCGTAAATTGAGTGCAGAAAACGTTGGCAGCTACCGTTAGCAGGGACTGCAGAAAACCAACCCAAAACCAACCTGCGGCAGGGACGTTTTAGAATTCTCCCAAAGGCGTCCCTGGCCCAGTAACCCACTTTCCTTAGGGGCATTTGGGAACAATTGTAGAATTTTGGCTGCTGTAACCGGGTGTTGTTCAGCACTCAGTCTTTATTCTCAGCGTACAAATATGCCGCCCAATCGTGCTGGCATCCACCAAGTCCATCGCTTCATAAGGGGCGATATTTTCGGATCCGCCCGGCTGTTGGCCAAAAAGATGGACTACACTGGAAACTAAAATATGTAAACAGACCCCTTCATTGAGCGCTAGACCTTGTACCACCATGGCATCCTTATGGCGAGCTAGAGCCCGTTTGTTTTCAGGGTTCTCATATTCACCTTAGTATGAGTCCATGCGGACCCTACGATAAGGGAGGTTCTGGTGGCTTAAGGTAGTCTTTGATCACTTGGTAGTGCAGGCTCTAAGGGTTTTAGCCGAACCAAGCCCTGGGAAAGCGGACTTCTTGCTGGAGTTGAGGAAGATAGGATTCAGATAGGCCCAGTCCTAAACCCCAGACCCCTGAATCCTGCCCGGTGTTGCCGAGAGTGAGAGTTGAAACCCTAAACCCTAAACCCTAAACTCACCAACTTCACGAAAGCCCCAAACTCCAAGCCCAAGCGGCTTGCAATTATCAAACGAAAAGTGGCTAGCCGAGCCAGTCAAGCGATGAAGGACGCAAAAACACAGCCAACCGCCATAAGAACAAGACAAACGCCGTATCCTGAACACTGAAGTTACAGCAAGCATGATAGTAACTCTGATGCAGGACCTAAAACCCTAAAATCTTAAAGCTCTAAAGCCGTCTTGCAGTTTCACCTCTCCGACCTCCAACCCCATGCCTCGCCTGAAGTGTCATTGTCCGAGTGTGAGCGCCGAAAGCTCCAAAACCCAAACCCTCACAGTTCCCCACTATAGTCACCTTGATAGCACTCTAGTAACCCTGAGAGTAACCCTGCCAGAAGCCCCAGTCTCACTAATCGCGCTCGCGGGTGCGCAGCCGGGTTCTCTCTAGCGAATTTAGCCTAGGGCCTAGGGATCTATAGGAAAGAATGGGCTTTCCTCTTGTTCCATGGCTTAGTGGCTGAGCAGGTAATCTTTAACCTTTTGGGGCTCTTATAATCCTACTATAATTCAAAAGGTTAACCTTTTTTGGGCTAGGGTACTCAGCCCCTAAGATAAAAAGAACCCAAGAACCCAGACAGGCTACATCGAAGGGACGCAGGCCCCTTTCGGATCTGCGCGAGCATGAGCTGCCTGCGTTTTCTGGTATAAGGGTTCTGAAAAACGGCTTAGGGGTTTAGGGCTTTAGGATGTAAGGGTTGAGTATCCCCTATGTATGGTACAGTAACTAATTTCCTGAAAGTACAGTACACACCAAAATCCCGTTCTAATTTTATAGGCCCCTGCATCATAGTCCTTCTTGGCCACGCGAATTCTTGGCCAAGTAAAACCTAAAAGAGCTCATGGTTCATATCCCGTCACAGGCGTGTGGTAACGATATAGAGCTCCACGCTTGGTAGGGGTCATGTCGTTTTGGAGGGTAGTTTGGGTTGGGTTTCAGAAGTTTTTGTTGTAACTTGAAACCCAGCCTCTTAAAGTTTGGGGCATTATACCGTGGGGACTCGTACATCAAGGTTAAGGCTCCTGCGAATTAGGGTGACCCTTTGTTCCCTGAAGCCGTCATGTCGGACAGCAGAAACTCACAGACGGCAAAGACCCTAGTTAGGGATGGCGGTCTGTAGAACACGCAATACCCTTGGAGTGCGAGTTATGAAGCCTAATTCTCCTAACTCTTTGAACCCGTCTTCGAAGCATTTCAGCTCAGAAGTGCAAGTACCACGGTACTGAATTCAGACGTTCCCTCGGCTCGCTCCTCTTCAGCCAGCTCTCGCTATGGGCCCCTCGATGGAGCACTTATTCAAGCTTACGTTGCTTCTAGAGTTTCGAGTTTCGAATCCTCGAACCCCCTGAACCTGAGATGGCCTTCGGAGCGCGAAGTGCTGTTGAGTTACTCCAGCCCAGGAAACTTGTGCTGCGGTGCCGGCAACCAGCACTACGACGGCCTAGTGGCGAGCCTGCCGAGCCTGTCGGGGAAGGCCGCTGTCCGAGTGGATCGGCAGAGTCCAGCTTGCGGGCGAACCCCGGAGCCGAAACTCCGGAACCGCAAGCTCTAAGAAGCCAAAAAAATCCCACTAGCTGGGTTTAGGGTTTAGGGTTTAGGGTTTAGGGTTTAGGGGTTCAGGGGAAGCCAAAAAAATCCCACTAGCTGGGTTGTGCTGTCACGAAGCCTTTAAAGATTCTGCGGCTTGGCTCTTCGGGCAGGGTACGGCCAGGGATTGCCTGCAAGCTTGATAGGCCCACATTCGAGAAGTGCCAAAGTCTTCTGCAAAAAAGCACTTGGAGCCGCTTGTTTTCCTACGCAGGTGATTGCGGTCACGGGCTGCACCTCTGGCACCGGAAGGACGATAGTGGTTGTCTCGCCTCTCCGGAACCTTTAGTTCAGGGCTTGGGGTTTTGGCTTCATTGGGGTTCTGAAAGTCCAGAGCTTGCCACAGCCGGACCATGACAAATGTGCGCGTGCCCATGGCTTTGTACAGCGAAATCAGTATGTTGGGAAGGTCAGAACCCTAAAATACACAAAAAATGCTACACGATCTGTAGGCCTCTCGAGATTAACGTGTGCCGGGCCGTGCCCAGGAACCGGGACTAACGCCTCTAGGAGAAAACCACCGCTTGCATGGCCAGCCTGCGTCGGGCAGCCTTCGACATTGGCTCGGGCGCGACCAAGCTCGTGATTGCCGATGTCACTGAGGGCAGTATTCAGGAGCTCTTCGCAAGAGAAGTTCCAGTGCCTTTTGCGGTTGACTGGAAGCAGTCCTCTGATGGGAACTTGAGCAGCGCCATCCAGGAGCAGGGTGTCTCCGTTCTGCGGAGCTTGCTGCAAGAGTGCGATGACCGATCGGTGGCCTTACATGCACGTGTCGCTGTTGCGACAGAGGTTTTCCGAAAGGCCGGCAATGGGAAGGCTTACCTTAAACGTGTCTTCACTGAGCTGGCTCTGCCAGTGAGAGTCTAGGATGTTCAGTAGTATCCTTTTTTACTTTTTTGGGTATTGGTTCCTAAGATAATATAATTGGTTACTGAACAGCTTAGGAGTGTTGACGCAGGATGAGGAAGCAGAGCTGGGCTTTCGAACTGCAGCGGCACTCGCGAGAAGCGGGGACAGCACCATCTGTTGGGACTCTGGAGGTGCCAGCTTCCAGATTACTACGCGTTCCTCGTCCGGCGCTTTGGAGACTTACCTCGGAAGCTTGGGCACGGGCGTGGTCACATCCATGCTGGTGGAAGTTCAGGGTTGCAGCTTTGCCGAGACTCCTTCACCCAATCCCGTCAGAGCAGAGCACGCAGAGCAGCTGTTACTGGATCTGAAGCGAATGCTTCCCGCTACACCCAGCTGGCTGCGGCAAGGCAACGTCGCAGCGATCGGTGGTCCAAACTCCATGTTCTGTGTGGCCTGTGAGGCTTTGGGCATGGGCTTGTCGGAGTCGGAGCAGTCCAGAGAAGCTGCACAAGGCGAGAGCAGTTCGTGCCACTTCACCATCACTGCCCAGGCGATCCGTGACGTTTTGCTGGAGGTGATCGGAAAAACAGACGAGGAGCTGTTGCAATACGCATTTTGTCAAGGAGAGCTGCGGGAGCCTCCCGCTTTTATTCTTCCCAAGCTCATCCTCCTTCTCGCTGTCATGGAGCATTGTGAGATGGAGAAAGTTTTCTTCTACAAAACCATAGGGTCATGCCCAGGCATGCTCATCAGCGACGAGATGTTTGCAAAGCCGGCTGCCGTTGCCTAGCTTCTCTTGCCAGCGTCGGAGACACGACAGCACTGGGAAGAAGAGGCACAACTGCACATCGCTGTAATGGCTGAGCAGAAGGACTCTGTTCAACCAAACGGAGTTTGCTGGTCGTGTCGCCGTGCTTGCCCACAGACTGAGCCGACAGCTGTGAAGTGGTGATGCAAGTTGGAAAGCGTGATATAGAAGCCCAAATAGTTACCATTATTATTCCTTAGGGCTCCTCATTAAAACTATACAAAACCCTATTTATTCTAACTTTCAGGTCCCTACATTGGATTCTCCCATCAGTTCTTTGATGGTAGCAGTATTCTCTCTCTCTCTCTCATCACGTTCGGAATACATGTGCGGAACATGTGAGCATTCGTTGGTTCCAGCCAGCGGCCAACATTTGAGACGGGAGTTGTTCTTCCCTACTTCGAAATACTGTTGATGATATAAATCCTGCATTACCTTAAGGACCCCAAACTACGGGAATTATGGTATATTCCTGATTATGGGTAATGCAGAATTTATATCATCAACCGTAGGTCGGGGCCAACGGTGCTCTGCTGCTGTGCCCGAGACTCGTCGAGCTGCATCACATTAGTCACGTTGACTTCTTGGATTTAAAGGTTCGGGTTCCGTCCTGAAGCCTGAAGCCTTCTTGCATCATGGGTGACGCTGGCATAGCTTCTTACGTGTCTTTTACTTGGTTTGCTTTGTTTTCGCCGCTCGTATTGCAGAGTTTCGCTTCGGAGGGATTGGATGCTGGAATCCGTGCCTGCTTCGAGCGGTTTCGTCAGTTTTGTCCTCAGACATAACCTGGACTTGTCCGAAAACCCGGTACCCTACAGTTAAGCCAAACGTCCCAAGACCTCTAACAACCTTGCACCAGAAATCTATTGATCTGGGGAATGCGCAGGATCTTCGCGCGAACATGTGCCAGGAAGGGTGCCAAGGTCGTAATGCTGTGACTGGGCTGCTTTAATGAGGGTTTAGGGAGGGTTGAGGGGATAGGGCAGCTTTTCCGTTTCTAAATCTCTGCAACGGAAAACTTTCCGAAAACAAAGCTCAAGATCTGTTAGCTCAGAACCTCCACGGAACCTAAACAACCCAAGCCCAAGCCTTAAGTCAACCCTGAAGCCCTAAACTGTCGCACAAAACCGGCAGCCCCAAACCCAAACACCCCTAAACCCCAAACCTAAGACCCTCAACCCTGAAACCCTACACCTTGAAACCCTAAACCCCGAAGCCCTCGAACCCTAAATCCTAAACCCTAAACCTTGCGTTGTGTTTGGAAGCATGTGCAAGTGTTTCACTTGGCAGACCGCCCGTCATATACCTCGCCTGCATTGTCCGAGTGTGAGAGCCGAAACCCTAAAACCCCGAAAACCCTAAACCCTAAACCCTACACTTCCTGGATTGTCCGAGTGTGAGAGCCGAAACCCTACACCCTAAACCCTAAACCCTAAAACCCCGAAACCCCGAAACCAAGAAACCCGAAACCCGAAACCCTAAACCCTACACCCTAAACCCTAAACCCTAAAACCCCGAAACCAAGAAACCCGAAACCCGAAACCCTAAACCCTAAACCCTAAACCCTAAAACCCCGAAACCCCGAAGCCCTCGAACCCTCTTCGAGGAACCGGAGCTCCCACCGGGCGGACGAGGCCTTCCAAGGTGTCAGGGACTTGGCCAAGGAGTCCAAGGCGCCGGAGCCCTTGCGCCTTGGGCCAGGAAGACGCTTCTTAACATACATACACACACATAAATAAATAAATAAAAACAAATATATAATTCGATAAATATAAATATAAATATAAATGTGTATATATATATATATAAATGAAGAAATAAATAAATAAATAAATAAATAAATAAATAAATATATATATATATATATATAGTATTACGGGAAATAATGCATTATGATATGATTTTGAGTGTTTGCACGCATGCACATGTACCTATACATATGTTGGTATATATGTCTATATATATACATATATATATATAGACCTCTCTCTCGCGCGACCTATCTATCTATACACCTGCACAATAACCCACATACACAACATAATTTTATGCGCCATATACATACCGTGCATGCGAACACACATACGGTATGTACAGGGTGTGTATGTGTATACATATATACACAAGTGTTTTGGCTGTATAAGAGGGGTCCTAAGAAGGGGTGGATGTAGAGGGGCCTTCATCATTCGAACGGAGGTCTGGGATAGTATATTGCTATGGACTTAAAAAGACAGAGAGTGCATGATGCTAAATACCTACATCTAGCACACTCCCTATGTTTAGTCCGCACCCTCAACGAAGTGAGATGTAAGCTTTACAGATTCGTAGAACCCCGAAAAAGGCATCATGGGCT